GAGGAGCTGCAGGGACCTCTCTCTCCACGCCTCCACGGCTTCCTGCTTGGCCGCAGCTTGGCTTTGCCCTCTAATCTCTCGTGCCTCCTACACCCAACGATAGCTTCACTTTGAGATTAGGAAGAAACAGATCAGAAACCTTGGGCTGCTTCTCTGGCCCACTCATTCCTCCAGCCCCTGCCCATTGGTGTGCTCCCTGCCTGGCAAAAAGCTTTGAGACGGTGCCAGGGGCTGCCCCCCACTTCTCACCCTCATCCTGACTACACCAGCAGTACTTCCCGCTGATGGACGGGTCCATTTCTGCAGGACTCACCGTGGTTGACCTCTCCTTCCTCCCTCCTGCTGGAAAACTTTCTTCTCAAGGGACATCCAATTGGCTTTCCTGGTTTTCTTCTACCTAAATCCTAGCGGAGAGAGCTCAGATTCTGAACACCAGGTTTGCAGAAGGCTATAGATAGCAATCACCACTTGCCTGTCCGTTTGTCCAACTGTGGTGGCTTGTGTGCTGCGGGGGTGCGGGAAGCTATGTCACTGGTATTTCAAATACCAGCAGGGTCACCCACAGTGAACAGGTTTCAGCCGAGCTTCCAGACTAAACAGACCACAAAGAAGCAGAGGACTTAAGTCACTGAAAGCAGTGCAGAAAGCAGCAGAGCACTGGTCATTTACTGAAGCTCTAATGAATAGAAGCAGAACACTGGCAGAGACAGTGCCCGAAGATGAGCCCTCGGGTCAGAAGGCACTGAAAATACGACTGAGGAGGAGCTGCCTCCTCAAGGCTGAGTTGACCATTATAACACCTTCGGGATCTTCATTTGCTGATGGGAGCATGCCTCAAAATGAGAACCAGCTGCAAACAACCGCTCATAATTGGAACTTGGAACGTATAAAGGACAAATGGAAGCCATCAAAAATAAAATGGAAGCATAAAGATGGATGTCATACCGTTGGTGAACTGTAATGGACTGGTATTGGCCATTTCGAATCAGATAGTCTTATAGTTTGCAGGAATACAAAATCAAGGTGTATGGCATCACATGTATGAAATGTCTAAAAGGACATTTCAAGGTCCATCTTGAAGGACAGTGCTGTCTGTGATAATATTCATTCCACATACAAGGAAATCCAAATTTAGGCAGCAATCACATGGATGTCATTATGGTCTCCTTTGAATGGTCTTTCTCATCGGATGATGTGTCTGTCTGTCTGTCTTGTCTTTTCCAGTTTTGTTGCAGGACTGTCCCACGGATGGGGTTCTTTCTCTTGCCCGGTTAAGAACAACAAGGCAGAGAGCCAAGCTGACAGTGTGAGCAAAAAGGCTTATTAGAACGTTGGCAGTCATGTAATGCTGTAACGGTTTCCATTTTTGTGATCTGATGCATTCATCCTTCCATTTTCACACTTTGATTTTTGCATAACAACCTGATCTGTGGGAACCTAACCATGTCAATGAGTGAGGAGTGGTGTCCATATATTAAGAGGATTCAAAAAGGTCATAGAAAATCAGAGATGAGGGGGGAAATAGGGAGCTAATCGTTGTATAATTCAGCTTGATGGGATCACACAACATAATTGTATGTGAATGGATATATTGGATGTGTAATATGTATAATATATGTTTATATGTTCCTGGCGGGTATGGTGGGGGAAGGGAGGGGAGTGAAGGAGAGCAGATAGCAAAGAGTTCAAGAAGAAAATGTTTTGAAACTGATTGTAGTAGCAATTGTACAACACTGCTTGATGTGATTGAACTACGGAATGTTATGATATCTGTAAGAACTCCCAATAAAATGATTTTTTTAAGGTCAGAGTTGAAAGATAATGGGATTTTGATTGTAATGGGACCTTAAAAAAGATATAGTCAAACCAACCATTGAATTGTATGATTTGCAAATGATGTCAATAAAACTTTTTTTTTAAAGACTTATTAGAGAGAGAAGTACCTTGCAAGAGCGGACATTGGGGGTGGGGTGGGGGTGGCTGAGAGGACACAGACCACAGCCTCATTAAACAAGGGAAAAGGAGAGGTTTCTAAGGGAGTTAAGGTGCAGTGGGCATTTTGTTCAGTCATGAACAGAGGTGGAGAATTCTGGGAATCGGGTCTACGTGAGTAGGGTTATGGCCATGGCCATGGGCGTTCAACAACAGAGTCCAAGGCTAAAGGCTTCTGAATAACTTCTCATCACTGAGGAATGGTACACACGCATGCGCTGAGCGAGTTCCTGAAGTTCGAGCCCTTTTCCTGGGTGTTCTTTGCTCGTGGGCTCCATTCAAAGTCACCGATGTCCGTTCTGCTCCGGCTCCGCTGACTGGTGGAAGCTGGTCGGATGGGTGAAGGCTGCAGAGCAAGGGTCTGAAACTAAAACAGTGTTCTGACAGCAGAGAAAAACATTAATTTTGCAAGGGGGAAGGCAGTTGAAAATGGCCCGGGCTGCTGTCAACAGGCCACATGTTAAAATGTGAACCGGATGCAGACTGTGTGACTGAGCTGTATGTGTTGGCTTGGGGAAATTCCTCAAACCCATCTGAACTTGAAAGATGGCGGGGGAAGAACCTACCCTCTTTTCTAACTTCTCCAATTCAGACTTAATAACTGTTCTCCTTAAATTACTTTTGTTATTTGGAGGTTGGCTTGTTTTCTGTACCCTCAAACAGAGGTTACCTCTGTAAGGGATGCTGTACCTAGGAAATGATTCAGCAGCCTGCAGTATGCCTGGAGTGGCCAAGGATGGGTCAGATGACTGCCTTCTGCCAAAGGATCATTCCCAGAGAAACTCAGCTGAGATCTGAGATCTGGACCGTAGACTACGCCATTAGTTTGGCACGCGTTTCCATTTATTAGTGAGCCTCTAATAGCACAGTAGATTAAGCACTCAGCTCCAATGGAGGGAAGATATAGCAATCTGTTCCTGTAAAAATTTCAGCCTTGGAAACCCTCTTTGATGCTATCTATAGTATAATGGACAGCTACGGGTTAGATTCCTGGAGTTCTGTCTACTGCAGCTTATCATGTAAGAGTTTGTAGGTTTCATGTCCAGTCTCCTACCCTACACATGAACGCACTGGAGTAGAAAATTGGGCGGTGTCCTAATTTCCTCGTGCTCCCGTAATACAAGTCGCACAAGGAGGTGGCTTTAGAGAACAGAACTTTATTCTCTCACAGCTCTGGAGGCTTAAAAGTCCGAATTGCAGCCTTGGCTGTGGCCATGCCTTTCTGGTTGGTGGTCCCAAGCATTCCTTGGTTTGGAGGTGATCCGCCCATGACAGCTGTCTTCCTAATCTGTGCACGTGTCATGTCTCTGTGTCCAGGTTGATCTTTGTGTAATTCAGCCAGGATTAGATTTGGGATCCGCTCTACACTTCGGTGACCTTAACTGAATGGTGGATTATGTTACATTATGGAAAGTTGTTACACTATAATACATTTTTAGATTATTATACACAAGTATAGGGATTTGGATTCCAATGTAATCGTGAGGAGGACATCACTGGCTCTATAACAGGCAGAGAATGTAGAGTGGAGAAGAGGCCTGTCTCCAAGGGCCCTAATGGCTGGTGCCTGTTAGGCCTGTCTGTCTTCCCTGGCTAGAGCAGCCTCGGCAAACCCTGTCACCCTAGGAAGGGAACAAGAGTAGAAACTTAGACCAGGGCACCCCCAATCCTCCCCAATCTCCCACCGCCTCCTTTGGTTTTCCTCTCAGTTAACACTATCTGACACTATTCTGTTTATTCTATCGGTGGCAGTATTTCCCAAAGAAGGGCCGCAAAAGCAGAGACCTACACTTTATCCTAGATTATGGGCTATCTACAAAAGATTTTAATTGCCGAGGGAGCACTGAAGGGTGTGGGTTTTTTTGGTCTGAAAAGGGGTCTGTAGAGCCGTGGTAGTGTAGTGGTTACTTGTTGGGCTGCTAACTGCAAAGTCAGCAGTTTGAAAACACCAGCTGCTTTGAGGGAGCAAGATGAGGTTTTTTACTCCCAGAAAGAGTTACTCACAGGGGCATTTCTACCCTTAGTAGGGCTGTTATGAATCGGAATCACTCGATCGCAGTGAGAATGAGAAGCTAAATAAGTTTGGGAACCGCTGAGTCAGTCAATAGGTAATCTGCCGCTTACTTGGTGTTGGAGGTGTTTAGGAGAAACATCCAGGAATAAAATACAGAGCTCTCATTCCCTGGGCAAGTGGACCATTCGTTTAGCAGCGAAGAGCCTATTTGCACCATCAGTAAACTTCACAGCAGAGCGTGGGTGCTCATTTTTAAGTCTTTGGTCAATAAATGAGCACATGCATGAAATCACACCTCGGCAAAACTCCCAGCGCACAGAGGGGCTTTGACTTTGGCCTTGGTCTCAGAGAAGAGTGATCAGGTAGAAGGTTCTGCCGGTTCTCATTGGCCCGTGATTTCTCTCTTCCTTCCCCCAGCCACATGGACAATTGCTCAGGGCCTATAACAAAGAAGCCTCCGATCACTCTACCTTCTCTTCTACACCCCAACATCTGCAGAACTCTTCCTTCGTCCGCGGTCTAAAGCTTCTCTTCTGCTTACCTAGCCGCCCTTTCCTGTCTCCTGCCCATTTTTCCACATCATTAATCTGTCAGGCCACCGGTTAGAGAGTGACCAATTGTCTTCGTTTGCTTGGCATTGTCTCAATATTGGTACTCAAAGTCTCAGGGAAACCCCTACAGTTGGTTGTGCCATCAGTCCCCAGGCATCCCGCAATCCATCATCGGTCCCTAGCCCGTAAGTCGCCTCCTCTCCCCATCTGACCACCTGGCCAGCCTTCCCCTGTCCCCGGGGCTGGAGGAGATGCAGGCGAGGCTCCGCCCCGCCAAGCGGCCACGCCCTCACCCCGCCCCTTCCGGAAACTGCTCCTGCGATTCTCGGCACCCTAGCAACAGCGACTTTCGGGCCGCCCAGTCCGCGTGCGCGGCTCTCCGCGCGAGCCAATGGCGAAGGGCCCCGGGAGCGAGGCGCAGGGGGCGGGGCTCAGCACAGCCCCCGCCATCTTGGTAGAACCGAAACAATAGGACGGAAGCGTTGCCGGACTGGGCCGGAGCCGCAGGTAACGCCTGCTTAGCTGGCATCACTGACCCTGGTGACCCCGGGACTTTGAAGGAGCGTTTTCTCCGGGGCGTTCTGGGGAGGGGACTGTGGCCTTTGGGGGTCTCCCCGGGTCATCTGGGGAGTGGTCCTCCGCGATCATTGGGTGGGATGTCTCCTCCAGTCTTTTGTGAGGTCGGATTTCCTGGGGTCACTTGGGAAGGGGCAGTTATTTCTTCGGCCTATTGTGGGGGTGGGGGTGGCATCACCCCAGTTTGGGAGACTGGATCGAATACGGCCATTGGGGGTACCTGCTAGATTTGGGGGAAGGCAGGATCTCACCGTCATTGAGAAGGCCTGCCTGGATTTGGGGGCGGCGAGGGTCATTGGGTCATTGAGGGGGCTCCCCTGGGGTCTTTAAATGTAGGGTCCAACCTGTCGTCCCAGGTAGTATTGGTACCTGAGGCCTGCGTGTGCAGCCATTTTGGGTATTGAATGCCACTTGAGCCGCTCAGCTGGTGTTTTTTGGTGAGCAATCGGTACAAGTCACCTTATTGTGGAAAGAACCTTTCTGTAAAATGGATCAGCGGACGCTCTCTTGACCGTGGCATTGTCCCCATAGATAGGGCTAGCATTTCCTTCACGTTTGAGTACAGGTGGCCTTTGTTTTCACCAAGACTTATTTTAGGATTTTATCCCATCTCAGATTAGCAAAGCAGTACCAGCAAGGGGGGTGGGGGGATATTCATCGAAACGCTGTCAAAATGTAGAAGTGCCCACCTCCTTGACTTGGGGTTGCAAAATGAACACAGAACAGGAATAAAATCACCTGAAGGAATGAAGTTTGAAGAAAAAGTAATGGAACTTTTGAAAAGTGGTTACAAAAATACTGCAGATCACCAACTGTATGTTTGTTTGTTGTTGTTGATCAAGGTCCATGATTACAGTCATTTTGACCATTTCTTGTATTTAAAGCATTTGCTGTTTTTGCGTTTTTAGCCTGTGACAGCCTAACATTTTAAGTGAACCAAGATGCTTATTTACGTAGATTGTTGTTGTGGGCTTTTGTATAATTGCATCCTATAACCTGGTGTTAAGTATTTCAAGAGAAGAAGTTCGGGGTGGTGCTGTTTCTTAACTTGAGCCACAGTCAGATTTAGATTCTAGTCAAAATGACTACTTTGATCATCCTAGGCCAGTTTATCATTTTGTAACTTGATTTCTTGGAGAAGTCAGTTAACTGTTTACTGTCAGTGATTTGCCTGCTGCCAATCGTTTGTATTTGTTGTAGGGATGGTTGGATGAGAATTGATACAGGTATGGCAACCACTTGGGCAGGTGTGATCAGCTTCCTGTGGGCTTTAAGCGGTAATAGGTGACTGGTGCCCTCAGGGCCAACCAGCGCTGGGTCTGAGTAGTGAAAGTGTTTGGAGACAGGGGAGTTGGAGGCTCTTATACATCCCACAGGTAGCACTGGTATCCAGGCAATGGAGGGGAGCTAAGCCTCCCTGAGACCTTCTTGTTGAGGTGGAAATTTTCCATTGTTTGGCTCATAAAGAGGATGCTCTAGGGAAAACTTTCTCCCATGAAGTTCTTACCTTAAGAAACAACCTGAGCTCCAAGCAGATGATGACTTGAGTTATTTCATTTGAAATCTCGTTTTTTAAAAGAAATTCTATCTTATGTTGTTTCGCAGGCCGTATAACAGGAGGAACAAGTAATAAGTGTTTTGCAGTAGAGTCTGATCCTCAGCCCTTAAGGGAAAAGACCAGTCTCCAAAGGTGACGCACAGTCGCACAGTCGGTTTGAGACTGACGTCCATCAGCAGCCTCTGCAGTTACCACCTCCTGGCCAAACTTGCTTCATCTGTGCTCTCTATTTCAAAACAAAAACAAAACTGAACTAATTTTGAAGTATGCCCCAGAAGTGTAATTTTTGTCCATAAATATTTCAGTGTGTGTCTGCAAGAGGCAATGTGCTAGCCACAATACCTACAATATAATTACTGTGCCTGAAACCGGTGATAATACTTTTAATTTTATCAAATATCCAGCAAGTGTTTCTCATTATCGACTCATTTTTTAAAATAGGTTTGTTTGTTTGTTTTTTTCAATCTAATATGGATCCAAGTAAGATCTGCATCTGGCATTCGATTGAGGTAGCTCTTTTCTCTCTGTTTATGTTTTCTTACCCTGTCTTCTTATAATTTATTTGTTGGTCCAACCAATTCCTATAGAATTCCTCGGCTTTTGCTGTAAGAGCCCTGGTGATGTCGTGGTTACTCATTGGGCTGCTGACCAAAAGGTCAGCAGTTCGAACTCCCATCCTCTCCTCCAGAGAAAGATCAGGCTTTCTACTCCCGTAAAGAGTTACAACCTCAGAAACCCACAGGGCCAGCTGTAAGTTGGAGCTAACAAGATGGCAGTGAGCTTTTGTTATGGTAAAAAATGTTCAGATTTTCTATTCTTTTTTTTCTTCAGATTTTCTGTTCTTATTCCTTTTATCTTCCTAGTAATTTTTCTGTTTCACCTAAATTATTTAATTTGTTGGCACATCATATTTTCTTTTCTTTTTTTAATCATTTTATTAGGGGCTCATACAACTCCTATCACAATCCATACACACATTAATTGTGTAAAGCGCATTTGTGCATTCATTGCCCTCATCATTCTCAAAACATTTCCTCTCCACTTAAGCCCCTGGCATTAGGTCCTCATTTTTCCCCTCCCTTCCCGTTCCCCCCTCCCTCATGAGCCCTTGATAATTTATAAATTATTATTTTGTCATATCTTGCCCTGTCCGACGTCTCCCTTCACCCAAGGCACATCATATTTTCTTAAAATTCTCTATATTTCCATAAGATTGATAGAAATGTCTCTTTTAAAGCTGACTTCAGTAATTTGAGTAGTGTGTCGTGCCCCCCACCCCCCCCCAAGGTCTGGGTAGCTAAAGGTTTGTCATTCCTGCCCCCACCACAGAACCAACTTTTATTTTTGCTGATTCCCCCTCCCCCTACTTTTTATCCTCTGTTTTAATTTTGGTTCTGCCAGCATTGCTTTTAAAAGTCATCTTTAAGGAATTTGTTTACCCTTATGTTGGATACTGAGTCATATTCCCAGGATTTACCTTTATGTTGGATATTAAGTCAGAGTCCCAGAAAGAATTTCAGGATCTGTGTTAAATTCCCATGTACCCACTGAATCCATCCCGCGATTACTGTGGGAATTCTAAGGCTGCACTGCTGTTTAGATTGATTTTCAGGACCACAGTCAATGACAGTGAGTGTTGTGTAGCCTACTTCGGTGAGTAGTAATTGGGGTCCTAAAAGTTTGTGAGGGGCCATCTAAGAGGCAGCTTATTTGTCTTTCCCTTATTTGTCTGGAGTAAAGATGAAAATACAAGTCTCAAGGAACCATTACTCCAAAGGATTAATGGGACCACTTGAACTACAACCTCTGTGGTTTGCCCTATAGAATTTCTCAGCTTTTGCTGAGGCCAGAAAAACTAGATGCTGCCTGGCTACCATTATCAACTGCTCTGATCAGGGTCACAATCGAGTATTCTGGCCAGAGTGAGAGAAAGGTGTGGCACAAAGTTCAAAGTCATCTTAAAGACTAGACTTAGTGATCTAGTAGAGACTGGTGGAACCCTGAGAATGTAGCTCTTAGACACCCTTCAGATCTGAAACTGAACCCACCCTCAGGGGTTACCTTTCAACTAAATAATAGGCATAGAAAGTGAACAGTGATACCCATTAGGAACACACTCCTCAGAATAATCTACTGTATGAGGCTTAAAGGGCAGCGTTTGCCCACCGAGTTCAGAAGGCAGGAAGAGAGAGAAGAGGGATGGGTGGAAACAGCGCCTAGGCAGGGGGAGAATTACGTTGAAGGTATTGAAGCTAATGTCAGTAAACAAAATGTGCACACGTTATTGAATGGGAAATTAACTTTGTCAACTTTGACCTAAACCACAATTAAAAAAACCACCCCAAAACTGTTTTTTTAAGTGCCCCAGGATCGGAGCGGTCTTGTAAGGCCCCACTGTAAGATACAGTATCTGTTCTGCGAGTGACTTTAGCAAAAAGCCCTCCCCTTTGCTCCTCTCTTTGTGGCAGCCCTGCGGCCTGCTGAAGGTCCTTGGGTCCTGTTGGTGATGTTTGACGGGCGCCATTTTTCTGTTCTGTTGGAGATGGTGTTCATGATTCCACATTGTTTGGACAGAGAGGACAATGGGCACAGTGGGACGGTCTGGTCAGATTGGGAAGTCATTTGTGGTGACTTTGTGCCTCCCGGGGCTGTGCAGCCTCTGGGGTCAGGTAATGTTTTATGTTTCATATTGTTGCTGTAGTTTTTGTAGTTGTAATTTTTAATATTGCATTGAAATGCTAAAATTTATCAATGCAAATACACTAGGTCTCGAATGAACCGTCAAAACTATGTTGAGTGAAATAGGTCAGATACAAAAGAGCAACTTTTAAAAAAAAATTAATTTATTTTGTAATGAATCATTTTATTGGGGGCTCTTACAGCTCTTGTAACAATCCACACATCAAATCTTACACCGTCCACTGTCTCCCTTTACCCACGTTTCTGTTCTCCCCCCTCAGGGTGGGAGGGTTATATGTCGATCATTGTGATTGGTTCCCCATTGGCCTTTTCTCCCCCGACCCCCCCCTACCCTCATTGTATAGCTACTCTCATTACTGTTTCTGAGAGGTTTATCTGTCCTGGATTCTGTGTATCGAGAGCTCTTATCTGTACCAGTGTATATACTCCAGTCTAGCCGGATTTGTAAGGTAGAACTGGGATCATGCTAGTAGGGGGGGAGGAAGCATTAAAGAACTAGAAGAATGTTGTGTGTTTCGTCGGTGCTATACAGCACTCTGGCTGACCCTTCTCTTCCTTGTGACCCCACTGTGAGAGAATGTCCAATTGTCTACAGGTGGGCTTTGGGTCTCCACTCAGACCCCCTTTGTTCCCATTGATATGATTATTTGTTTTGGGTCTTCTGATACCTGAT